CATATCACATCCGAACCAGTTCCGTTATTTTTACAACGTTTTGGCACTTGGCCATCGTCAGGTAATAACAATGAATACCGTGCAAGCCACACAAGAGCAGTATATACGCAGAGTGCAGCGCCAAAAAAGATGCGAATTATGTCACCTAGTATGCAGAAGGGGGGACAGAGAGAGAGAAAAGGCGCAACTAGCACATCACGGAGGAGAAGCAGCAGAAGGTAGCGCGCATTGTGCTCTGTGAATGGCGTTACGCAGAGTGTAGCGCCAAAAAATAAAATGATGCGAGTTATGTCACCTCTATACAGAGGGGGGGGGAAGAGAGAAGGTGCAACTGTGCACATCACGGAGAAGAAGAGCGCGCCGTTGTACTCTACGAAGTGAGGGTACATGCCAAATAATTATGGTGTTAATTCTAGCACAGGAGGGGAGCACGGAGCCCCATGAGTCAATGCACTATGAGGTTAAACTTCGATGCCAAACTGTTACCACCAGGGACGCGACGAGGCATCAGGAACAGAATGGATTTGAGTGACCCGCCTCATATTATAATTATTCACTGATATTGAAGTAGCAGCAGGGGAAGCTAAGAAAATTCACAACAAATCCCATCCGGTGCTTATGTTCACATGGGGCTTGGCATCACGAATCTCAATCGCCTCGCGCAGTTTGCGACGGGCTCGATCAGGCTCTCTTCCTATTACTTCAACTGCAGAGAATGCGCTTTGCCCATAGTTAAGCTTACATCCAGGGTGAGTGGTACGAAAATGTTGGCCCCATGGCTTGTCGAGTTCCTGGCGTCTTGCCTCACCATTATGTTCTTCCAGGCGAGTTTCCAGAAAGCGGCCAGTCTCACCAACATATTGTTCCGGACATTCTTTGCACTTCAGCTGATATACAACATTCTTCTGCATACATACATCCTGTCCCCCGGATATACACGAGATACACGGCCCCTTTGGGCGACCTCTCTTTTTCGGTTGTAGCGGATTTTCAGCCTTGACACATAGAGGAGGAACGAGGGCGGAGCGACACAATGTGCGCCTCAGGCTACCAGTGTGCTCATATACGACTCTAACCGGAATTTTATACTTTCTGATTGCTTTATTCACTGCTTGATGTACTTTATCTGACTTATATGGAAGCTTTAGAAATGCGCAGCATGGGTTGGCATGGCGACGACGCTTTGGCCTTATGGAGGTAGTGCGTGCCTCTTCAATGATTCTCTCTGGGTAATTGTTCAATCTTAATTGTTCATGAACCCTCGCTTCACTTTCTGCACGCATTCTGGTATTCGATGAGAGCCTCTGAGCTCTTAGGAATTGTGACGAAGCAACTGCCAATTTGATATGGTGGGGAACTGCCGAAGTATAATCAGTTAGTAGACCACTAGCACATGCCTTCTGGTACAGCTTGTATACCAGCTTGTCTTCCTGGATCATAATTGTGATATCCATATAATTTATGAAGCCACTCACCTCGCTGAGCTCATATGTGAAGTTGATACTTGGGTGTGCAGAGTTGAAGTGCTGCACAAACCGCATCAAGCTCTCTCTGCCGTGGGTCCATAGCAGCAGGATATCGTCGATGTAGCGTTTGTAGAGGAGCGGTACTAACGGAGAATCCTGCAGAAGCCTGGCCTCAACCGTATGCATGAATAGAATCGCAAATTGGGGTGCAAGATTGTTACCCATTGCCACCCCGTCGACTTGGTGATAGATCTGATGGCCGAATCTGAAATAGTTGTGGCTGAGAACAAACAGCAGCAGATTCCGTACCCCGCTCACACTCAGCCCAAACATGTCAATCCGCTGGGAATACTGCTGCAGCATATCCACCACTGCCTGAACGCCCTCCCGAATAGGTATGCTCGGATATAACCCGGCTACATCCATGGACATAACAATGGTGCCATCGGGGGCGTTCAATCCCGGACATGCGTCACAGATGTGGGTTATTGCTTCCGTCGTGTTAGCCAGGTGGGCCGGGACAAATTGAATGAGCTGCTGTAGGATGCGCTCCAATACAATAGATACTCCAGTCGTTGGGCTGTCGCACGCTGCTACCACGGGTCGCAATGGTAAGTTCTGCTTATGGTCCTTTGGAAGACCGTACCACTCGGGGAACTTCGTACTGCTTGGTAGGATTGACTTTAGGAGTTTTGAATCCATGTTCTTGCACTCTGACAGTATTACTTCTGGTGTCTTGGTCTCGTAGGACTTTATGGTCAAATCTACTTTCTCATCCATGGTCATGTTCGATAATATGTCTTCTGCTTTCTGCAAACACAGCTCCTGTCTCATAGCAACGAGTTTTTACTTTTATCCGATGGTTTGATGATGGTTTCTTGGTCTGTGCGAAGTCGCTTCAGCTCCACCCGCTCCTCCTGCGTCAGATTGGGCTTAGAGGGTGTGTGTCTCTCATAAGCCCCTAACACCTCGTCGCGGAAGTTGGCCATGTTCCTTTCGTCTTTGTCATCCATCTGTGGGGGCTGCTTAAAGCCACGCTTCATCACCTTCCACAATTTCTTGTCCTGTCTGATCTCTGGCGGTGGGTCCTCCTCTTTGAGGTCCACACCCTGAGGCTGGGGCTGTTGCCACCGGAGGGTGAACGCCATCCTCTCTACCGATGTCTCAACATCTGTTCGTTCTTGCTTGGTGAGCCTCCCCGTCGACGGGACAAAGCTAGGTCCATGTTCCAGCAGACGCCTTGTCTGGTCGGACACACAGTCGCCCACCACCAACGCCCGCTCATGGACTGGCTCAGCATTGGTCGTATGCCCACTGGATGACGCAACACGAATGGCGGCAACAGGAGTTGGGCCGCGGGGTGAGCTGTTGGTTCCCGCCACACGTTGATCCGCCTCTCGAAGTCCAGAAATCTTCCGATTTAGTCTGGCGTTGGAACTTATTCGTTCTTCGGTAACCACTGCACGTTGAAGAGAACGGATCAATATGTAGTCCGACTGTGTAAACGTCCACAGTTGCTCTCTGGACTGCTTGTATCGCCTCCCGCGGTAATCTTTCTCTGCGCATTTGTCTTCGATGGCATCGCAGAGAAGACGGCGGCAGTACTGATGTCTCCTGTGTTCTCTGATGGTCTTGTGACTCGTTGATGCTGGCTTCCGCACACAATTCGAAATGAATCTGGGGATCAATCCCTCTCGCCGGCACTGCAAAAGAAAAGACAATTGACACTCGCTCCTCTGCAGCTTCCAAGACCATTGTACAAACCGCCACGCTGCCTCGCTCCGGCAAGAGGAGAACCAAGTCTTAAGAAGGGCTGAGGCTTCCTGCAGCTTCATCTGTGAAAAGAATTCGGGTGGACACACCCATTCCCATAGCGCTGCACATCACATCCGAACCAGTTCCGTTATTTTTACAACGTTTCGGCACTTGGCCATCGTCAGGTAATAACAATGAATACTGTGCAAGCTGAGGGTTCATGAACAATTAAGACTGAACAATTACCCAGAGAGAATCATTGAAGAGGCACGCACTGCCTCCATAAGGCCAAAGCGTCGTCGCCATGCCAACCCATGCTGCGCATTTCTAAAGCTTCCATATAAGTCAGATAAAGTACATCAAGCAGTGAATAAAGCAATCAGAAAGTATAAAATTCCGGTTAGAGTCGTATATGAGCACACTGGTAGCCTGAGGCGCACATTGTGTCGCTCCGCCCTAGTTCCTCCTCTATGTGTCAAGGCTGCAAATCCGCTACAACCGAAAAAGAGAGGTCGCCCAAAGGGGCCGTGTATCTCGTGTATATCCGGGGGACAGGATGTATGTATGCAGAAGAATGTTGTATATCAGCTGAAGTGCAAAGAATGTCCGGAACAATATGTTGGTGAGACTGGCCGCTTTCTGGAAACTCGCCTGGAAGAACATAATGGTGAGGCAAGACGCCAGGAACTCGACAAGCCATGGGGCCAACATTTTCGTACCACTCACCCTGGATGTAAGCTTAACTATGGGCAAAGTGCATTCTCTGCAGTTGAAGTAATAGGAAGAGAGCCTGATCGAGCCCGTCGCAAACTGCGCGAGGCGATTGAGATTCGTGATGCCAAGCCCCATGTGAACATAAGCACCGGATGGGATTTGTTGTGAATTTTCTTAGCTTCCCCTGCTGCTACTTCAATATCAGTGAATAATTATAATATGAGGCGGGTCACTCAAATCCATTCTGTTCCTGATGCATCGTCGCGTCCCTGGTGGTAACAGTTTGGCATGGAAGTTTAACCTCATAGTGCATTGACTCATGGGGCTCCGTGCTCCCCTCCTGTGCTAGAATTAACACCATAATTATTTGGCATGTACCCTCACTTCGTAGAGTACAACGGCGCGCTCTTCTTCTCCGTGATGTGCACAGTTGCACCTTCTCTCTTCCCCCCCCCCTCTGTATAGAGGTGACATAACTCGCTTCATTTTATTTTTTGGCGCTACACTCTGCGTAACGCCATTCACAGTGCACAATGCGCGCTACCTTCTGCTGCTTCTCCTCCGTGATGTGCTAGTTGCGCCTTTTCTCTCTCTCTGTCCCCCCTTCTGCATACTAGGTGACATAATTCGCATCTTTTTTGGCGCTACACTCTGCGTATATACTGCTCTTGTGTGGCTTCCACGGTATTCATTGTTATTACCTGACGATGGCCAAGTGCCGAAACGTTGTAAAAATAACGGAACTGGTTCGGATGTGATGTGCAGCGCTATGGGAATGGGTGTGTCCACCCGAATTCTTTTCACAGATGAAGCTGCAGGAAGCCTCAGCCCTTCTTCAAACATGTCATACTGTACTGCAGCAAGCAATACCTGCACCAGGCCTATCTACTGTGACCCATGCCATTGTGAATGAGAAGAGGCAGCATTTGACAGTATGAGCGGTGTGATGAACGGGAATGCATAATACAAGCCAGTCGAGCATTGGTACATGTACTTACGGACGCAAGTAACAGTTGGCTGCACACCGCTCCACTGGCCGTTGATTTCACAAGTACGCATGGCCGAGCCCATAAGGACATAGGGAGATGTGCACACAAACGTGGTCGTGTTGCTGAACATCAAGCCGTTCACGGTCATTGAGCCCAGTGCCGGTGGTGACAGGACCTGGCAGTCGGTTTGACCTGCACAAGCACAGAGTGCACAGAGCACAGAGCACAGGCATTCAGTGCATGCATGTTCGGCCTAGGGGTGAAACGAGTGCCAAAATTGAGGACTCGAGTACTCTTTGAAAAAACGAGCGAGTACGAGTATTTTACTGACAACATAAAAACAATGTACTGCACACACTCTCGTAACACTGAACGTATTACACCTGATACACATGTAGTCTTGCATGCAGCCTAGTGCAGGAAATAGTCTGAACTACGTCTTTTGTTGGTAAGTAGGGACAAGTAATAATTTCACACTTGCATGGGTTATCAGTACTGGTCAGAGTAACAGACGTGCTTGATGTACAAGCAAACAGTACACTGTGCATACAAGATACTTTTTAGTGTTTTGCGACACGAGTCCTCACTCCTTTCGAATTTTCGAGCAAGCGCTCGAGTATTCGATATACTCGTTTCATCCCTAAAACGTTTGCGTATGTGTACGTGGCACAGACGTTGGTTTTGAATACATTGTAGTACACGCATTGTGTAAAGGAAATTGATGCGAAGACTGCCTCAACATGGCCATGCAAAGTAATAAAATAAATACAGCAGTGAATAGCGGTAAACAGTAGCTCAGCCTCTACATTTTGCTTGTAATAGAAGTCATTAGCGTCAGAGCAAGAAGAGGGACAAGACGAGTCAAGGGACAATCCGGAGGACGCAATACCATACGACCAACTGTTTGTTTCTACCAGCGTTATTGTACCGTCGACACAGCTCTGACGACGATATACTGGGCGAATGCCGCGGGGCCTCCCAGCGTGTCAGCGGCAGTGGGTGATGGGCAGATAACAAGGTAGCTTGCGGACAACATCGGTGGCATGAAGCCTAGTGACTGCCAAGCGTCTTGGCGCGACGGGCGAGAGGTACTGTGTTATGCCCCAGGGGTGCTGTGGCTGTCGACGTCGGCGGGTCGTGAGGTGCGTTCGCAGGCCTTCATGGCGCTCGGACAACTGCAATACTAGTACACAGACTCTCACTACTAGCTACATAGTACTCTGATTCTGGCACGTTATTTCTGCATTGAATAGTGATTGATTTTCCGCGCCGAATATCCGACGCTGCATGCATGTCCAATGCGCGTCAACAGTACTTCACACTTTCCTTTTCCCGCGTTATCACCTCAGCTATGCCAGTTTTGTATGTGGAAACCCCCTATATAATAGCAGTTTGGTCTATATTTTTAATCATTCAATATCTACCTTCACTGATGAGCTATGTATTGGCGAAACAGTTGTCTGAAGGAGTTTATCAATATCGTCTACGGAAGTGTCCTCGCAATGGTGATGGTTGTGTGCAGGAGGGTCTAGTCGGCTAAAGAGCGCAGTGTGGTGGTGGAGGTGACTCAACATTTTCTTCAATGGCCGAGAGCTCTGTCGCACCCTGTAATAATAATAGAAGTCATGGTACTACTATCAGTGCTGCTGCTGGTGCTTACCTGGAGCTGGTGTGACCTTGCCTGGGCAGTACTGTGCATCAGAGCCATCAGCACAGTCGTACCAAACACAGTCGCAGCGCTGTGATGGCAGGATACAGCCACTGGAACGCAGGCAGGGCAGGTAGCCAGACTGGCACTGCAGTTGAATGGCTGGATACACGTACCCATACACACAACACACAAAGTAGTCAAGAGATGAAGAAAGTGTCTGCTCGGCACATCTTTTGTACAGTCAAGAGATATTAGCATATTTGGAGGAGGTGGTAGCCTAAAACAGGCTCGACAAAAGTTACCGGCTTATGCCAACAACCCAGTATTCTGGTAGAGTAGACGGTTCGATACCGGAACGCCTTGACAGCCAAATTTGTATAGACCCAAACCGATCATCAGCGTTGATTTTTCACTCGAAATATGTTTGTGGAAGGAAACTGGCATGCTGAAGTTTGCTCTGGGGCCAGAGTCAATCGAACTGAGCCACTCCTTTGGGTTGACCCATTGCCTCCAAGTTGCCCAATTTTTCGCTTCAAAAAAAGTTCAAATCAGAGGTGGCTCCAAACCGGATACGTTTTAGAGTGCACGTCAAATTCACTCTGGGTCTGAAATTAGGTAATTGCTATCGCTCCACGACGGCCAGTACAGAGTAACAATAAGCCTTGTGTGTGCTTCCATTAGTTTTGATTGGTATGCGGTGCTTTATTGGCAAGAGGCGAGCCGCTGTTTACCTGCGACAAGAAGTTGATTTTTCGAAAGTCGAAAACTCAAGTCGCAGTGCGAAGCAACACGTCAAAAACTCACCTGCTTGGTATGGCACGTATGGTCATCGCAGAGCCATGAAATTTTGGCTCGGAGTATAACACATCGTAGTCTCACTGTGACATATGTTTTCTAATCAAAATACCAAGAGAGAACGTGAATATTGAGTCCGTTCCGGTTTGCAACCTGTGTCCTATTTGAAACCGTCGCCTCTACCCGATGAAACTCCCTAACCATACACCTACAAGTATAACATATATCCTAAGGACTCAGGCTGAGATGCCCGACTGGTCCTGGGTCTTGTGATACTTGAAGCACGATCATCATTTGTGATGATGAAAAGTGGCAGGTAACACCCAGACCATTACATGCTCTGTAAATAGGAAAGATCAACGCCACCAGAATCTGCCTTCCTACAAGCCTGAAGCTTCTCTACACAAGAGGGATATATTGGCTCTCTTGAAATTCAACTTACGATTACATGAGGCAGCTGCCCCACTCCAGGAACCGTCAATCTGGCAGATGCGCACAATGCTTCCCTGCAGGTTGTATCCGGAATTTCAGCCGAAGACGACGCTGCCTCCAGCAGAATAGTTTGTGCCCTGGGAGTAGCCATTGGTCGGTTTAGCTAGCGGTGTGCACACACCGGCTGTACACGTCACAGGCACGTACACACACATGCACGTACACACACAGGCACACACACACACACACACACACACACACACACACACCTTGACCTTGATACACAAGGATTTTTCATTATTTGCCACGTTTGAGCTGAGCTGCGATCATCGCGCTTTGTTGCAGTGTGCTAAAAAAACAAGAACAAAAAAACGGCGAAAAAAGTGGGGCGGCTGAGGCCGCCCCAGCCACCGCAGCTGTGCCGGCCTTGCATGCCTGGTGTACGGTCTGAAAGATGAAAGATGGAGCTCTTGTATACACGGGCCCGGAAAGTCTGCTTCGCCTGCTCGGCAGCAGCTTCGTAGTGGTGGTCAAGGGTCGAAGACCGACGGATACGGATCAACTCCCCAGTGAACACACCTTTGCCCATACTACAGGGGTGGTTACTACCGACAAGCAGATACAGGAAACGATTGGTGACCTTGAAATGAGGCTTCACCGCCATGTATCCCTTACTACGGAAAACTGTGGTGTCCAGGAAATCAATGCCATCATGTGCCAGTTCATGCGCAAACTCGAGGGCCGAACACTTATTAATCCTGTCTAAAGCGCGCTGAACTTGACCTTCGCAACCATGCAATGAAACAAAAATGTCACTGATAAAGCGTCTATAAACCTGAACCTCTAAACCCTCCCCCTCTAAGATCGGCAAAATGTACCGATTCTCCAAATACAGCATAACAATGTCGGCATAGACCACTGCTGCAGGCGAACCTATGGCAGTCCCTTGGATCTGCGGAAACAAATCGTTATCGTACACGAACCCGTTAGTCTTCCGAATGACTGACATCAAGGAAGTCACTGCTGTTGTTAACCGTGTACGAAAGGCCGGGGGTATCCACCTTGTATACCTGTGTGTGATATACCACGACAATGCCACGTGACCGAGCTCGTTGGGGATGTTGGTGTAAAGGCTGGTCACATCTATACTCAAAAATAAATGATCGTCCCGCACAGGCAAACCTTCTACCAAGTTGATGAAATCCGTAGTTCAGGCCAGAACAGTACTTTCCTCACGTACATACAGGTTCAGTAGAAAGTCAATGAACTTAGCGGGATAGTAGCCAGGACTATTCAGACTACAGGGCACAGGGCTTATGTGTTTTGATAAGTCTCCTGAAAACGGGCATGCGCCCCCGGTGCGACTAAGAACAGTGACATATAAAATGGTCATACGATGCCCAATGCGATGCCTAGTCATGGTGAGTAAACAATTGACTCGGGTCGCAAACACGAAGTCTCAACACAGCCTTGAGCCTGTTGGTTGCCATCGGCAGTCTAGCCACATGTTCATCTAGCCCCTCAGGAAAAAAAACCAGTCATTTATAATGTTGGGCATTGTGATGCTGGGCACGACCTATATCATCATAGTGAGATCCGTCCAGGACTACTATCACAATAGACTGCCTTTGAATATGCCCGAGTCTGATCGCGTTCTAATTCCCAAACTATGTGCTGCATGTGTACACTCCGCCTATGGTTAGTCTACTCCAGAACAACGCCTGGAGAGGTTCATTGGGGGCATGATGTCCCCCACCCCATCCCCCTTGCACCTGAAGTACCGGTATTGCCCCTCCCCCCCCCGCTAGTTTTTCTTCCGGTGCTGTTGAGGTTGCACTCGTAATTGTGTTTATTTTGCCCGTATAAGAGGCTTGGCTTTTGCCTAGGTACGAAAAAAGGATAAGAGATTATTCGTTTGTAGACCAAATTCGTTATAACGTCCCCTTCAGCTGTCCCACAGGTTTGAATTCTCATTACAAGAAAAAGCGGATGGCCAAGGATAGCTCGATTGATTATCATGTTGTCTTGTATCGGGGTCCGATGAAACATTAGGGAGGTTTAGTTCCCACGTAACGGAAACGCGTACGTGGGTGATCCACGTAAAGTGGATGAAGGGCACCCACGTTGCAATGTTGTGTTTAGTCACACGGAACAAACAAAAGCATAAAGCGAAAGGCCCAAACCTGGTCAAAGACGAAGCTACCCGGGCCTAAGAAGCTCATCGAATATTTTGATTTCGTGCTTCGGAAACTTCTTCAGCTGAGCACCCTCACAGCTTGCACAATGCGCTCCATTCTGATTTTCACCCACGTTCTGGCGGAACGTGGGTGAGCCTCCATACACGGCATGTCGTGAATCAGAAAACGTCTGTACGTGGGTCACTGAGTATCACGTGGTACACCCACGTAAAGTACCCACGAATTACGTGGGACTAAACCTCCCTAATGTCTGATAATGGGTACAGGGCATGGTTTCACCATCAGCTTGGGACACTTGACAGGTGGAAGGGTTTTCGTTGGCTGCTAGATCCCGAGGTGAAAGAAGCGGACAATTTGCCGACGGAGACGGTTGAAGGTATTACCCTGAGTCAAGGATTCCTGGAAGCAGAACACAAAGTCACCTATGTGTGTACCAGGCTATCCGTATCTGCTGCCCAAATTGTAGCCGTGGAAAAAGCAACACGTGGCCAAAACTCGAATGCTACTTGGTCGCTTCTACGCAAGGGCAGAATAACGGCATCCAACTTCGGCCCTGTGCTGAAGACTATCTCATCTGGCCGCCAGCCATCTAAATCTTTATTTACTCGCCTTCTTGGTCAGTATGAGTTGTCTGGGCAAAAGGCCATCCAGTGGGGTCTCATGCACGAAAGTACGGCTGTTGCATGCTATGAGGAGTGTGAATATGTGTCTGTGAGATCCAGCGGCTTATGGCTTGCACCATGTGGCCTCATTGGTGGTTCCCCAGATGGCGTAGTTAGCGAAACAAAGCTCATCGAGGTCAAATGTCCGTACTCGGCAAGATCAACATCTCTTGCAGCTATGGCGAAGGAAAAGACCTTCTTCTTGTCAGTGTCTTCTTCCTCTCCTGCTAACTTTTCTCTTGATTTGTCAACTGAATCTGGATGGAATTATTTCCATCAAATCCAAGGTAACTTATGTCTGACAGGTCGTGAAGTATGCGACCTTGTCGTGTGGACTCCGTTGGAGACGGTGATCATCCCAATTCGGGCTGACCCGACCTGGTCAGGAAATTTGGCTCGGATCGAGGACTTCTACAAAACCTTTTTCTTGCCTGTCTTTCTGGATGGTGGTGTGTAGTCAATCCTAGGATTGCAATGGCCTGTGTAACTCTTCCCTTCTATATCCAGCCATGTCTTTCTTTCCACCAAACCAGCATACCGTAGAGTACAGTGAGAACATCTGTATGTTTGTTCTAAATTGAAGTTCTGCCACTGTGTGTGTAGGTGTGGCTGGGTGCATGTCTGTGTGCGTTTGTGTGTGATGCGTTGTGTATGGGTGTATAATTCTGTATGTGTGGGTGCATGTGCGTGTTCGTGTATGCATGAATATTGTAGGCCCATGATAAACAGCACCCCTCTTGCTTTAGTCACCTGTGCCATGGCTGCAATCATAACTCTACACCTTCCTCTTCCTTCAACACCACCTGAACATTCCACACAATTGCACCTACGAGCTGACAATTATATTATTACCGTAGCTATGCAAAAGACGTTACTTCAGTAACGTCTGACGCTAGCCAGGGTCATCACAGCTTTAACTTTGTGTTTGTTTGTTTGTGCCATCGGCATGCCTCGCGCTATCCCGTACCTGTGCCGTACCGTACCATGAAAGACAGCTGGCCACAATATTCAAATAGGGCTTTCAAATGCAAGATCATAACGTGAAGCAACTTGGAAGAATGAGTATGCATGCGATGTGTATCGGGGGAATGCATGCGATCGCCATAACACATGGCTGAAATGTTTATAGTTTCCAGAACTACATTTCTCGTCACAATCAGTGGGTCAAGATAATTTTGGCAAAACGCACCAAAAGGATAAACTACTGTTTTCGTGCCAATATACAGAGATGGCTATCTTTTATGTGCCCAACAAGCGTGGAAAGAAAATTCGCTGCAACTTTCATGTCAGCTGGGAGAATAGCGATTAGGGCACCACGCTCGCCATGGGCATGGCTGTCGAAGACTTGAGCATAACCAGATGGGAAAAATACCAGAAGAATGGTGTAGGGATTTTGAATTAAAGAGGTAGGAAGAACAGATTGGGAAAGAATAGCCTGATCCTTACACTTCTCTAACAACTTTGATAAACCTTCCTCATTTCGTGCACCAAAATCGGAACGAGTTGCCACCCGAAGTGGCTTGCCTGGTATGATATCAAGCGCATCATAAATGGCAAGGAGATTGTTCCCCAACTTGGCATCATCATACAGTCGATTGCCCTCTCTCATGCTGTTTACAAATCTCTTCGTGACTTCGGCAGATGACAATGGCTGTATGGGGTAGGGCACAGTCAGGTACTTCCAGGCCTGTAGACATGCAATGATGGTGCAGGCATTGCTCCATTGCCGCCCATCCATTCGAGACTGGCAGATGTCATGTGGCAAATAATGCAATGTGTCCAGGGAGACCCGTGAAACTGCGGCTGCAGCAGATGCTGACGGTGCTGCGGCAAATGCTGACGGTGCTGCTGCTGCGGCTGACGGTGCTGCGGCAGATGCTGCGGGTGCTGCTGCTGCGGCTGACGGTGCTGTAGCAGATGCTGACCGTGCTGCTGCTGCGGCTGACGGTGCTGCTGCAGATGCTGGGGGTGCTGCTGTTGCGGCTGATGCTGACGGTACTGCTGCTGCGGCAGATGCTGGCGGTGCTGCTGCTGTGGCTAACGGGTCTGCAGCTGACAGGACTGCGAATAACTGATTCACCATGTCGGGTGTGATGGCTGATGCTGATGGTGCTGCTGCTGCGGCAGATGCTGACGGTACTGCTGCTGCGGCAGATGCTGACGGTACTGTGGCTGACGGTGCTGCGGCTGATGCTGACTGTACTGTGGCTGATGCTGACTGTACTTTGGCTGACGGTGCTGCGGCTGATGCTGACAGTGCTGGTGCTTTGGCTAACGGGTCTGCAGCTGACAGGACTGCGAATAACTGATTCACCATG